TAGATTTCAATTTGGCTACTGTCTTAAAGGTCTTGAATGCATTAAGAGGCTTGCCCTTTTCACGTAAGAGTTCAACCCATCCATGACGAAAGTAATTATCTATGAAGGTGATAAAATATCTAAAACCACCCATAGGCGGAGGTGTCATAAGTCTACAAATGTCAGTATAGATTAAGTCTAAAATATTTTCAGACCTTTTTAACGCTTTGATTCTAGCTTTCACAGGGAATTTTCCCTTTATGCAATCAGCACAAGTGTCAAAATCTAAGAAATCAAGGTTTTGTAAGACATCTTGTTTGGCCATATGTTCCAATCTCTCTCTAATGATATGACCTAAATGACGATGCCATAACATAAAGGAATTATCGTTGGGCCTTTAACATTTATGCTAATAGCAACATTAATTTAGAGACTAGGAAATTCATGCAACCAATCATTCAATCAATATAAATAATATATCAAGAAAACCAACTGACATTAATGGAATCAAAATGAATATCAATTTTCGCATTTCCTTCGAAGAATGAATAACCACAAATATCAAATGCAGAAGTTGAAATTAAATTCTTCTTTGTAGAAGGTACATAAACAACATTGTTCACATTTAAAATATGTCTAAAATTTAAACATAAAGAAATATAATTCTAATGCATTCAACTGATGCCTTGCTCCCTGCTATGCCAAAAATTGACCTCTGTGCCTCATTTGAAACCTTTTATTTTTTTAGCCCTCATAGAAAATTCACAACATGCACAGCAGTGCCAGAATCTAGCCACCATAAGTCAAAGGAAGTTTCAATAGTGTTAGATTCAAAACAAACTAGAGCTAGAGGGGTAGTTTGAAGAATTGTACCTTTACTTTCTTATTTGTTCTTTAGTTGGATGCAATTAGCTTTAATGTGGCCGAGTTTCTTGTAATAATTGCATGACCCTTTTAAGGGTTTCTTTTTTATCTTCTCACTCTTATCACCATCCTTCTTAAAAGTTGGATTATTAGGCTTCGGGGCCTTTAAGGCCTCAGGCATCTTTCCTTTTTCTTTTTCCTTATACGACCCTCCAAATTTACTACTAGAACCATGAGAAACATAGTTTATTGAGTGAGATGAATTCTTTTTTATAGCTTCCTCTTCTTGAGTGACTATTGATATCATTTGGTCAACAGACCATTTAGCTTCTTGCGAATTGTATGAAGTCCTCAAGAATGCATACTCTGGTGGCAATGATTGAAGAACACGATTAACTAAGGTGCTTTCATTCAAGTTAATTCCATATGATTTAAGCATGTTGTAGTAATGAACAAGTTTTAGAATATGCTCTCTGACATCAGGTACTCCATCATATTGAGTATTGTCAAGCAATGACAAATAGTAGTTCTTTTGAGTCTTGTCAAGCTTCTTTATATTTGTTACCAATAACTTTTAAGTATTCCATTGTAGTATTTTTTTCAGGAATACTGTCCCTAATTTCCTTTTCAATTGTGTACTTGATGATTGTTGACAGATCTAGTTTCTGACTCGATTTCTAGGTCTCTTGCAGCCATATTACACAAAACCTAGAGCAACACCATGAGCTAAGGGAAGGTGACAATGCTAGCATTCGAAGAGCTATAGCAAATCACAATGTTGGCAACATAAACCAATAGCCCTCTCCGATGGTCTTGGAGTTCTTTCTGGTGATGGGAGCCAAAGCAGGAGAGAATGATGCTTACAATCATAAAGACTCAATCTTCGTCCGACAACACATTCGTAGCATATTGGAGAGAGGTGTTCTAATGAGAGAAAAATACGTCCAGTGATGGCACAACAATAACTTTTGTAGAATCCAAATAGTGTTGTTTCTAGTGACAACACAGCAAACGCAAAGACGCCATCTTGTTCAATGAAGAAGATGCAAGGAGGGAAAGAATAATGAACACAATAATAAGTCAAATTTTATATTTGATTGCAACAGTCCCTCAAACAGAATATTATGGTACATAGATGAATATATTTAAATCTCATATTCATACTCATCTTGAATAACATGAATATAAGGAAAAATATTAATATATGAGTATGAATCTCTATTAATATATCATTATATGCATTAGAATAATTGAAATATATAAATTTAAAATTCACAACCAGGCTCTAATACCACGTGATAACCTTAATATCTCAATTCATATAAACAAATGATATTAAACAAAGTAGTGTGTGTGTACTTGAATAATTCATGATCGCTTGCTAGAGACACCTCAATTACTTTGAGTATAGACAAACGCACAACCTACTAGACTCCTGTAGTCTTCTAAGGTTCATAGATAATGGAGTAAATGAAAGCTATCATGTGTTTTATAGTTATTGACTAATCGACTTATATGAACCAGATCAATAATCGCTATATTAAATTAATTAATTAATTATATTTTATTACCTCTGACTCAGTTAGTTAAGAGATAGGAAATAACTAATGGCTACAGGATTGTAAGTTGGGCCTTTATCTATTGGGCTCACTTGTGTGGTCTACTTATCACAGTTCACACAAGATCATAAAGACCAATTTGTTTGGGCTTATTAATTAATATAAATTCATAAACAAATACTCCAACAATATATAGTCTTTGCTCATGTTGCTATATTTGATCTAAAGGGTCCTGATTTCACAATATATTATTTTACATTTTAATTTTTTAATCTAATAATTTTGGCTCCGCCATTGCTCCTTGAGCATTCTAAATCAATCTATATGATGTATTGTTCGTTGCAATATATATTAGTATTTATTAGTTAGTTAGTCCTTCTTTCTTTCTCCCATTATATTTCAATATTCCATTTTGTGTATGAATCCTTGTGCATGTTTGGATAATACAAAAAATCAATATTTCAAAGGTAAAAATTGTGATGTTATGATACACACACACACATATATATATATATTAATATGATATCTCTCCATGTCAAAATCAATTATAAATTTAAAATAATAATTTTTAATCCTCATCAAATATTTAATTTACAATACTCTATTTTCAATGTAGCTAGGTTCATAAAGCCTCCTTAATTAGGTCTAACCAGTAACTACTATCCGTTTAATATCATTCAATTAATTCTAAGTTGTACATTCAATGTGAGCCACCAAAACCAGGGCAAGCAGGCCGCACTCGGCGTACCGTATTAATTATATGGGAAGACATTAAACTCGTCAACTCAGGTTGCTGATATTTTGGTTTACATTATTGGACAGTTAAGTAGTGATTGGCTAATAATAGAAAATAATAATAATAATAATCTTATTACTTGTAAAAAATATTTATACACAATAAAACTTTAGCACTAATTTACAAAGTTCCCCTAAATTATTTAACGTTGTTGTATATAACTTTTCTTACCTTTAAACATTAAAATTAACCTTCATAATATTTTATTTTTCTTTTCAAAGCCTCTTACCATTAAAAACTCACAACTTTAAATTTTTTGTCTTCATTTTAAACCTCAACTAAATACAAAATTTTAAACAATCTAAACATTAAATTTTAAATACATTAAATTTTAATTTAAGATCTAAATTAAATTCCAAATTCATAACACCACCTAAGAATTGTGCACTTTTGACAGGAAGTAAGAATGGGCCATGCCCATAAGGATTTTTCAATATAGAATTCTTGCATTCTTTCTACATAGATACTTCTCCGGCTCCCACTGAAAGCCCAATAAAAGCCCAACATAATGAGTTTTCTTTTTTCTTTTCCCTCTTACCTTTTCATTTTAATTTAGGGAAGGAAAACATATTAAACTTTGAATTTAGATTTGGTAATTATAGGTACTGAATACCTATATTATTTGAATCATTAAAATTCATATTAATGGTTTAGATAAACCCACACATTTATTAATTTTAAGTGGAGCATAAATTTAAAGCCATTGAATTGAATTTCAATGATTTTAATGATACAGGCATTAGTGCGTGTATTAAGCACGATCAATAAATTCAAATTCACAAAATTCTCAACTTTTCTCTCTATAATTTTCTAAATTTAAGAGAGTTGTTGAATAAATCAAATACCATGATGCTTCCACGTTATTAAGGATTCGGGACTATTTTTATATGGGTTTCTTTTTCATGCTTTTTTTTAACACTTGTAGCCTTCTCGATGGGTTTCTGATCATGGTCAAGTTTATCGGAGTTTCTACCGTTGTCAAAATGGACGAGGACCATCAGAATGATGAGGCTCAATCGTCCTCAAAAATTATATGAATGTAAAATAACATAAATGATTTTGGACCATTTATATTTTAGAGAGTAAAAAATTATTTTGGAAAAGCTACCTATAAAAAAAAAACTAGTGAGAATGATGCGAAGTAATTAAAAAATAAGTTTTAATGCAAAGTCATTAAAATATCGTTATTAAAATATAAAAAATTCCTCCTAAAATGGCGGTGGTCTTAGCAGTGAATTATTATGTTTCTCAATAATTCATACAATTAGTATGTGTCCCGTCGCTGAAATAATAAATATTGATTTAAATAAATAACAATATACTCGCTCCGTTTAAAAATATACGGCATTTTTTGAAGAGTTAAATATTAAAAAATGTAATATTTTTTAATTTTTTAAGGGGTAATCCTTGCCTTTGTTTTAAAATTTATTGATAATGATTTTATATTTATTATAGGCTGTGATAGGGGACGCGGAAACAGAATCGTGCCAGTTTAGGGACAGAACTCTGAAACAACAAAAACACAAGAACAAAAAGAAAGGGACGAAATTTATGACAGAAATAAAGAAAGGTATAAAGTAAACAATATGATAATGATCAAGGAGAATATCCTCTAGAGCACTTGCCTCTAGGAACCTCAACCTTTGAAGACACCACAAGAGTTTATCACACTTTTGATTACGTCTATTTCTCACACGGGATGCCACCATAAAGCACTATGGCTCACAAGAGTTATAAACTCTAAAATGAAAAATTTCATTCAACTTCTGTGTTGTTTACAATAGGGAGCATGCCTAATTTATATAGGCTCATAGAAAAAAATATTTTCTAAAATTAAAACCCTAATTTCCTAATACTAAAAGGAGAAATAATATAAAATAATGATAAAATATTCAGCCACATAATTTAGGAGATGTGATCCTAAAATTATGGGATTACAAAATTTAAAAATTAATACTATAATTAATTCTACCCTTTGACTATACTCAAAATAAAAAATCAAATCAAAGAATCATTAAAATAGGAAATAAGTTAGGAGACAATCAAGGGATCATAAAAGATTTAAAATTACGCCACCCTTGACTTCTTTACTAGAGTTTCATGCCTCCTTGCTTGTAAGAGGCTCAACTTGTAGTCTTCCTTGCATTGGGCTAAGGTCTGCATCTCTTGGGCTTGACTTTTCATGAGTTTAGATCTTAAATACATTATACACGTATAGGTGCTCTCTTTTGGGCTTGAAAGGAGTGTCCCAATGCTCTCTAAGCTCTTGAACTTCTTGCACAAAACTGAACAAGGCTTGCTTCATGGCTTTAGTTCGGGCTCTTGTCATTGGACCTTCAATATGTTGTAATGGGTCTTTAGGTACGTTGGATTGGAAGTATTGGGCTCCTTCTATATCACCATGCTTACGATTACCATCCTCAAGCTTCATTGCCATTAATGCCATGTCACCCGTGCCATGGTGTCCATCATTCCCTCCCAGTTGGAAAGGATTCGTCCTTGAATCTGCAGAATCATATAAAGATCAATCAGAAATATTAAATGTGGCACTAACATTGCCATAAGAGTTAGGAAAATCAATCTTGTAAGCATTATCATTAATTCTTTCCAAAACTTGGAAAGGTCCATCTCCTCGAGCTTGAAGTTTGGACTTCCTTTGATTAGGAAATCTCTCTTTCCTTAAATGTAACCAAACCCAATCTCCAAGCTCAAAGATTACACGTCTCCTGCCTTTATTTGCTTGCTTGGCATATTGCTCATTGTTTCGCTCTATGTTTGCTTTAACCTTAGCATGTAAGTCCTGCATAAACTTAGCTTTTTTCTTGCCATCAGTGTTAGCAAGCTCAGAGAAAGACAAAGGTAAAATATCAATAGGACATAATGGATTGAAACCATAAATAATTTCAAATAGAGAATAAGAAGTAGAAGAATGAACAACCTATTGTAAGCAAATTCAATATGAGGTAAACAATTCACCTAATTCTTCAAATTCTTCTGAATTATTGCTCTTAATAGTGTAGTCATAGTTCTGTTAACTACCTCAGTTTGACCATCAGTTTGTGGATAGGAAGTAGTGAAAAAAAGTAACTTAGTCCCTAATTTATGCCATAGGGTACGCCAAAAATGACTAGGAAACTTCATATCTCTGTCACTTACAATAGTCTTAGGTAAACCATGCAAACGAACAATCTCTTTAAAGAATAAGTTAGTAATCTTAATAGAATCATTAGTCTTAGCACAAGCAATAAAGTGTGCCATCTTAGAGAACCTATTAACAACAACAAATATGGAATCTTTGCCTGCAGAAGATTTAGGCAATCCATAGAGATATGTTCCCAAGGGTGAGAGGGGACGAGTAAAGGAGAGTAAAGCCTATGAGGTTGGACCTTAGATTCTGCTTGTCTACATTTAATGCATTTATCACAAACAGATATGACATCTTTCTACATGTGAGGACAAAAGAAATGATCAGACAAAATAGCCAAAGTTTTCTCTACACCAAAGTGTCCTATCAAATCACCACTACGTGCTTCCTTAGTAAGCAACTCACGCATAGAACAAATAGGAATGCATAATTTATTTTTCTTAAAAAGAAATCCATCAAATATAAAGAAATCACCGGATCCATGATTTTCACAAGATTTCCAAATATTTTCAAAATCAAGATCAGTTTTATAAAAAATTTTTAGAATCTCAAAACCAAGTAATTGAGCATGCAAATAAAAAAGTAATGTATACCTTCGAGATAAGGCATCAGCAATGACATTATCTTTACCTTGCTTATGCTTAATCATATAAGTAAAGGTTTCAATAAATTTCATCCAGCGAGCATGTCTCTTGTTTAACTTACCTTGAGACTTGATAAACTTTAAACTTTCATGATCAGAATGAATGATGAATTCCTTGGGCCACAAATAATGTTGTTATGCTTCTAAGGCCCTCTTTAGAGCATAAAGCTCTTTGTCATAGGTGGAATAATTCAAAGCTATGCCGTGAAGCTTTTCACTGAAGTAAGCTATAGGCTTAGAATCCTACATTAAAACAGCACCTATACCAATACCAGAAGCATCACATTAAATTTCAAATGCTTTAGAGAAATTAGGCAAAACAAGTAAAGAGGCATTAGTCAATTTATCCTTTAGGGTTTGGAAAGCCCTTTCTTGTGTTTCACCCCATTTAAATGTCACATTCTTCTTAACAAGTTCATTAAGAGGGGCAGCAATGCTTGAGAAATACCTAACAAATCTCCTATAGAAGCTTGCTAAGTCATGGAAGCTTCTCACTTCACTTGCATTCTGAGGGGTTGGCCATTCACGAATAGCCTTAACTTTCTCCTCATCTACACGAATTCCCTGTAATCTAACAACAAATCCCAAAAAGATAACAAAGTCCATGTAAAAGAAACACTTTTGAAAATTAGCATATAGCTTATATTCCTTCAAGATGTCGAACACATTTTTAAGATGACTTATATGATCAGTCAAAGATTTACTATAAATCAGAATATCATCAAAGTAAACCACAACAAACTTGCCTATAAACTTTCTAAAAACATGATTCATTAATACCATAAAAGTGCTAGAAGCATTAGTCAAACCAAAAGGCAAACTAACCATTCATATAATTCAAATTTAGTTTTAAAGGCAGTTTTCCATTCATCACCCTCTTTCATACTAATTTGATGATAACTACTTCTAAGATCAATTTTAGAAAAGATAAAAGCACCATGCAATTCATCAAGCATATCATCAAGTCCAAGGATAGGGTAACGATACTTTACAGTGATTTTGTTGATTGCTCTACAATTAATACACATCCTCTAAGATCCGTCTTTTTTTGACACCAAGATAATAGGGACAGCACAAGGGCTAAGGCTCTCACGCACAAAGCCTTTCATTATCAATTCCTCTACTTGGCGCTGGATCTCCTTAGTCTCTTCAGGGTTAGCCCTATAAGCAGGCTTGTTTAGAATAGCAGCTCCAGGCAAGAAATCTATCCTATGCTCAATTCCTCTTAAGGGAGGAAGTCTATCAGGAATTTCATCAAGGAATAGATCTCTATAATCCTGCAACAAAGAGACAACACTAGAAGGCAAAGTGGGGTCAAAAGTATTAGTAGAAAAATAAATATTCTTGGGAATTACAATAAAGGCTTGCTCACTCATCAAAGCCTCTTGAATCTTACTTTTCCCACACAATAATATTTTCTTTTCACTATTTTCCTTCACTCCCACCATTCTATTTTTTTCTTTTCTCACCTTCTTACCACTCTTTTTCCTCTCTTTTGATTGATTTTCAAGTAAAGTAATACTCTCTTTCTTTTCTCTCTCACTCATGCCACAATCAAGGAGATCTCTCCTTTACTTGTAATCTTGAATAATCTTTAGTTGATCTTCATAGGCTTGGATGAGCCTAAGAGGATTTAATACAATAGTTTTGCCTTTAAAAGGCACCTTGTAACAATTTCTAAAACCATTATGAGTAGCCTTACTATCAAACTACCAAGGCCTACCTAATAACAAGTGTCCAGCAAGCATAGGGGCTACATCACATAATAAATCACAAGTATAAACTCCAACAGAGAAAGTAATCAACACTTGCTTAGAAACCCTAATTTCAATAAAATCATTCAACCATTGTAATTTGTAGGGCTTAGGGTGTGGAATTAAAGGTAAAGATAATTTATCTACAAGTAAAGTGCTAGCGACGTTAGTGCAACTACCACCATCAATTACCATGCTACATACTTTCTCTTTGATGAAGCATCTAGTGTGAAAAATATGCTCGCGTTGCTCATGCTTATCATCCTCCTTTGGTTGAATATTGAGAGCTCTTCTTGCCACTAAGATAGAGTCAACTACATCATTGCATTCAAGCTCATCATTTGATTCATGGGAGGTAGAATCATTATCAACATTATCAGCATCATCTTTATCACTTTCATGCACACTATCATAGCCACCATCATCTCTCAAGGTCATAACCCTTTTATTGTTACAATCTCTCGCCATGTGACCCACACCATGACATTTGAAACACTTAATAGGAGAAGTGTTAGATAAATAAGAAGAAGGTTTAGGTTTAGAAGTTTTACCCTCATAGTTGGTCTTTATTTCTTCCTTGGCTTAGGATGTATCTTTGGCTTAGGAATCCTTCCATTTGGAAGTTGTCTTGGAGTCTTTCCAAGAGGATTTGGAACGTTTGTTCTTATTTCTCTGCTCCAACTTTATAGCCTTGTGTATGAGCTCTTCCTTGTCCACAAAAGTGTACAAGTCAAGCTTATCTCTCAACTCTAGCCTCAAACCATCCATAATTCTTGACATTGCTTCACATTCATTTTCTTGAATGTTTGCACAAAACTTCAAGATATTCAACTCGTGCACATACTCCTCTACTATCATAGATCCTTGAGAAAACATTCTCAATTTTCTATTCAGCTCTGTGTAGTAGTAGCTAGGGACATAAACCTTTCTCAAGTACCTTTTAAGCTTCTCCCATGTTTTAATGGGTTTTTTCGCAAGTTGGCTTCTTTTGTACTGCAAATCTTGCCACCAATAAATAGTATAGTCAGTGAAATTTAAAGAAGTAGTTTTTACCTTCCTTAACTCAGACAAATCAAGAGTCATGAAGATTTGGTCTATCTTCATTTCCCAATCAAGGTATTTTTCTGGATTGTTGCTACTTTTGAATGAAGGATACTTTACTTTTTGGTTCGATAAGTTAACACCACGCTTTAAGGATTTCTTTCCCTTAGGAGAAGGGGGTTCTTCATACTCCTCATTATCGCTGGGGATCTTATGCTTCTTTTCTTTAGAAGAAGAAGTCTCCGGCTCATCTTTATCCTCTTTATGGAACCTATGATCAAGTTCCAAGCAAAACTGCTGTAACTGTGTTTTGATAAGTTCTAAAACAGAGTTCATATCAATACTAGGGGATTCATTCTTATTACTCATGTTCACAGAAGCACTAGAAACCATATAAGATAAAAATAGGTCCTCACACACGCAAACTCACGTGTTTACTCTCAAGATAAATAAAGTCACTCGTGTTTTACAAAAAAAAAATTAATGGCTCTTTTTTTTTTAATGATGAAAAACATACTTGCCTTTTATCACTCACAAAGCTTGTGGATAGAATCCAATGGTGAAACCAAACACAAATTAAGAAACTAAGAAACAATCAAGTGAATATCTTCTAAATTAAGAAAACTAGAAAACAAGCACAAGATGAAAAGAGGATTTTTTTTTTTGTAATTTTGAAACAAATAGAAATTAAGCTTGTGAAAGGAAAAACCACATGTGACAACAAAAATAAGAAAGAACGAAATAAAAGTCAAAGAGTCAAATACTCAAAGACAAAAATAGAAAACTAAATAACATAAGAGAGTAGCACAAATAGCAAATAAGAGAGTAGAGAATTTGAAAAGTGCTACCAAAAATTAAAAATAAGAAAGTGATCAACGTATAAGACTTTCTTATCACCAAGTTGACTTTTCTCTTTAGGAAACCTCTTGGTGACTTGAAGTTCAAGAATAGCTTTTTTCTACAGTTATAACTCACAGCAATATTTTTTTGTTAATTTTTTTTTGAATTTTCGGATTTTTTTCTCTCTTTTTTTTTTTCTCAACACACTAACACTTTTTTTTGCCTTTTTTTTGCACGAATTTCTAGATATTTTTTTTCTCTTTTTTTGAGAAGGCTAATAAAATGAAAACTCACATAAGATAAAAAGTCACAAAGATGAAGAAGAAAAAAACCAAAAGATAGAAGTAGATGGGGTAGATAAGAGATAATCACAAAAAGAAATAACTCAAGATGAAAAAGAAGAAAGGAGGACAAGAATTTAAACCAAAACTAGCAACCAAAGCTCTGATACTAATTTGATAGGGGACGCGGAAGCAGAATCATGCCAGTTTAGGGATAGAACCCTGAAACAACAAAAACACAAGAACAAAAAGAAAAGGATGAAATTTATGATGGAAATAAAGAAAGATATGAAGTAAATAATAGGATAATGATCAATTAGAAGATCCTCTAGAGCACCTGCCTCTAAGAACCTCAACCTGCGAAAACACCACAAGAGTTGATCACACTCTTGATCACGTCTGTTTCTCACACGGGAAGCCACCATAAAGCACTAAGGCTCACAAGAGTTATAAACTCTAAAATGAATAATTTCATTCAACTTTTGTGTTGTTTACAATAGAGAGCATGCCTAATTTATATAGACTCGTAGAAAAGAATATTTCCTAAAATTAAAACCCTAATTTCCTAATACTAAAAGGAGAAATAATATAAAATAATGATAGAATATTCAGCCACATAATTTAGGAGATGTAATCCTAAAATTATGGGAATATAAAATTTAGAAATTAATACTATAATTAATTCTAACTTTTGACTAGATTCAAAATAGAAAATCAAATCAAAGGATCATTAAAATAGGAAATAAGTTAGGAGACAATCAAGGGATCATAAAGGATTTAAAATTACGCCACCTTTGACTTCTTCACTAGGGTTTCATGCCTCCTTGCTTGCAAGAGGCTCAACTTGTAGTCTTCCTTGCATTGGGCTAAGGTCTGCATCTCTTGGGCTTGACTTTTCATGAGTTTGGATCTTAAATACATTATACACGTATAGATACTCTCCTTTGGGCTTGAGAGGAGTGCTCCAATGCTCTCTAAGCTCTTGAACTTCTTGCACAAGACTGAATAAGGCTTGCTTCATGGCTTTAGTTCGGACTCTTGTCATTGGACCTCCAATATGTTGTAATGGGTCTTTAGGTACGTTGGATTGGAAGTATTGGGCTCCTTCTATGTCACCATGCTCATGATTACCATTCTCAAGCTTCGTTGCCATTAATGCTATGTCACCCATGCCATGGGGTCCATCAGGCTACTTAATTGGGGTGAGATTTGGTTAAAAATATCTTATATTTTTAAACGGAGGGAGTATAAGTTAAATTATAAAATTACATTATTGTAAGAAAATCACTTTTAAATTAAAGTAATTGGTGTTTAATTTTTTTCATTAATAATAATGAGTTAAATGTAATAATTATTTAAAAATTTTCATAGAACGTCACATTGAATGAATTTAAAAGCTAAACCAAATTTTATAAAGCATATTTAAATTAACTCATTCTCCTTGAATCGCCATATTTAAAACAATTTTACAAAGGTAAAATGAAACATCATATTTCGTTTTATAAAACATATTTAAATATGTTTTATAAAAAATAAATTTAAATTATAAATAATATATACACATTGCACAATCAAATTAGAATTAAGAATTAAAATTAATTTTATAATTAAGATTCAAGGTGAAGATTATGTACACAATTTTCTCCACTAAAGTACAATTTAGATTTAAAAGTTATTAAATTCTTTTTATAACAGAATATTATTTAATATTTTTATTCTTATCATAAATTATTTATCTTACGCCATGATCACTCAGTTTTTAAAATTAAAAATAAGAGTAGTATGATGGGAATTTACAGTGATGGGAGGGTCTGTGAAATAATGGGAGAGGAATGAGGAAATAGTATGAATTATGACAAATCTATAAATCATTTTAAAAATATATCGAGTGAGAAAAAAAATATTGGAAGAAGTGAGAGTCTGATAGTTGTGGAAATCATATCAGGAATTATGATTTTAACATTGTAATATTGAGAAAATAAAATAAAAAATTTGATGTGGCACATTGAAATTGTAAATTTTATAAAATGATAAATTATATGAATATTCTATATAATTATATGCAAATTTTTTTTAGAATAAAGACAATATTTGAGTATATGTAGTAAAAAAATATTCATCACCTCCCCAATAACATCAATGAAAATTCTTCCAAGAAAATAACCTTCATTTTACTTTTCCTTTTTGAAATAAACTCAACTTCAACAGCTTCAACAACCAAGTGTGTAAGCAAAATTATGTTGATATGGCATCATATTTTATGTAACATAATGAAGGGAAATTATAAATATCATAATTGCATAAATGTGATCTAACTCTAAAATCAAACCAAAACACTTTAGACCAAAGCTCAAGAGAAGAACTATAAGAATAACCCAAAGTTAGTGCATTGGAATTTAAAAACATGCTAAATACACCCTTAAGTAGCATTCAATTATATAAAACAAAATTTTGAAAATTATATCGTCTCTTAAAAGGAATAATATAAAATAATATCAAGTCCTTTATAAGATAATTAGTATGAAGGATGAATTATAGAAGGAGGAAACTAAGAAGCATGATTAATCGCAAATAATAAAATCACAGAAAAAAAGAGGTGAACTCTCTTAACAGGCTATCATCCCCGAGCTTAAATTAGAAACATGATGCCATTAGTTGTGCCCAAAACACTTCCAATTTAATGAAAAAGTAGTAATTTTGTGCACCTCTCCTTTACATTTGAACCTTTGTTAGTTCCAAGTAAACAAAACAATATAAAAGCTTGGATCATATAACCATATCTATCAATGAATGGTCAAAAAAATATATAAGACATTTATTTTATAGAAAATTCATACGGCCATGCTTGATCTCAAAGTGGCCAGTAGTAGAGAACAAAATTAATGCGTCCGAGCCCCAACACAGCCTCATTAGATTAGATGTGAGAAAGATATAGAAAATTATATGAAAAGATATGAATCAAACTTTTTTCTAGAGAATGAAGAAAATGAATTAATGACCTAAGGAGCCAAGGAGGGGATGAGGTGACAATGACTTCACATATTAGACCTTGCTGGCAGTGGATATTTTATGCTTACGTTATATTGAATGCTTAAAGGAGAAGGAGAAGACTACAAGCATGGGATTCAAGGAGGCAGGAGTAGAGAAATATATCGAAACAAGACGATTTTTTGTAACATGAGTAGAGAGTTTATAATCGTGAAAGTTTTTAAATTTAAAATTAAAAATTAAAATAAAATGATGGATGTTATATTGATAATGTGAGATATCATGGGGGAAAAAATTAGAGATAAAACAATATGTGAAGGTTTCAATATTTTTAAAAATTAAAATTAAAATTTAAACTATAAAGAATATGAAGTTATAATAAGGAAAGATAATAAAAAAAATCTATAACTAAAATAAAACTAAAGGAGTTAACATCGCGGGAGAGAAAATAAGGATAAAGGAAAAGTAGTTTCTATATTTTTAGAGATATTTCAAGAAAATATTTATAAAAAAATCAAGTTAATGTGGAAGTTATGATAATGGTAGACATCATGGGAGAAAAGACTATATATATTTATATTAGAAAAAGTAAAAGATTATAGTAAATCGAAATAAAGGGAGAGAGAAAAAAAAGATACAGAGGAAGTGGTTTGGTTCGTTTTAGATATATGTAATTATTATATAACCAAATTTTTTTTAAATGAAAGCTAGACTTGCAGTGTATAATGGAAAGTTAGAACTGGAGTGGGGTCATTTGTAATTTAAATTTGAATATTTAAAAATTATGAATATTATGTGGCATCATTATACTGCTTAGTTTTACTTTTAAAAAATTTAAAATTATGAATAAATTAAATTAAATAATCTAGGCATGAAGAACATGTGACATCATCATATCGATTGCAATTCTAATTTGTTATACAAAAAATTATAGTTATCCAATAATTTCTTAATTCATAAATCATATATATTTAATTAAATTATAAATGAGAATTCAGTTAATTAAAAATATAAATAGAATTTAATGTAAATATTTTATTAATTCACATGATTATAAGAACATTGGTATAAAAGTTATTAATTTATTATTTAATTCAATTTTAATTTGTCTATTTAAATGATTTAATTTTTCAAGAAAATTATTTAAATTATTATTCACAAAATGATAGTATTTGGGAAGTATATTTAAGATCATAGAAAAGAATATCAAAGATAAAGGAAAATAATTTTTATTAATTTTTAAAATAATAATTTTAAATAGGAATAAGTATTATTTATCTAGATATATTTAGATTTTTTTAAATTAAATTTTAAATTTTAATATAAATAGAAAATTATATTTGAGATTTTGAGGTCATGAAAGAAAAGTTATATTATAAAAAAATTTAATAAAAAACTTAAAAGAAAATATAAAAACTAAATCTCACGTGGCAGC